AGTGCTTGCCCAGGTGGGTTTTTTCCTTCCTTACAGTCCTGTAAGGAAGCAGGTCACATACTTAATGGTGTGTTGGGCTGGTTTTGTGTTAATGTTTTGGGTTGGGGGTTTTGTGGTACTTGAAAATGATGATGTTGTGCACTTTCCCCACCGCCAGCAAGGTTTTACTGGTCCTGAGTGGACATCAGAAGGAATTTCTTCTCAGAAGGGGTTGTTAAAATTGGAATGGACTGCCCAGAGAGGTCATGGAGTCACAATCTCTGGAGGTGTTTAAGGAAATCCTGGATGTGGATCTCAGTGCCATGGTCTGGTTGACAAGGTGGTGTCTGGTGATAGGTTGGACTCAGTGATCCCTGAGGTCTTTTCCAATCTTATTGATTCTGTGATCATGTTCCCCTAGGTTAAATTTTTGAATGCAAACCGTGTGAGTAATTTTTCTTTCCTCCTCTGTTCATCTTTGCCATTACCATTTTTATTTGAAAAGTGAATTGTTGTCATCAATGGAGATACTCATTCTGGAATTCCCACAAATTTTCTAAGGACATCCAGTGACTACCCTAAAGCATCAACCAAAACACATTGGAGGAACAATCCCATATGACAATTTCCATTTCTAAGTACATCAGTAACTAGTGCATAGTATTCTAGATACCTTTTGATTCACTATTTCCAGTAATACCATGAAATTGCCTGAAATAAAGATAATTCTTTACCATCAGTCACATAGCAAGTGTTTGTCATAAGTATCATATTGCTGGATATTTATTAAATATTCTGGAAGACTGAAGGTACTGTTTCTTTCTTGAGGCTGGTTTTAAAAGAAAAATAGGTCTGTTTCTGGAAAAAAACCCATCTTTTTTACAGAACATGTAATTTTTTTAAATTAATCATTTTTTATAGAAAACGTTGTTTGAGGGTTTGGATAATAATAGTGCTGGCACTAATCTTTGATTCTCCTTCAGAGCACTGTAAATCCAGTTCAGTACATTGTAAAATGCGTGGTTTTTCTTCCTTACGAGACTCTTGGCAAACTTTATCGTTAATACAAAGACATGCAGCAAATTAGATGTTGTTAAAAACAGCTGAGAAACATCTTTTAACAAAGAGAAAAAAGGAATAATTTACTTTAGAGGATAGTTTTATACTTTGTTTGTTTCAAAATAACATTATTTTCAGAGCACCGTTAGTATCTAGTGGCCAGCTACTATATATATTTACATAGTGTTTCTTTTCTCCTGTTCTTTTGGATTGCAAACCAAGAATACAGAAGACACTGTGCTTATTTGAATTAAATTTTATTGCCATGCCTTATCTAATTTTTACTAATTTTTTGACTCCTTGGTGTATGGTGAAATGTAAATCAGTGGTTTTCTTGGTCCATTCAATTAGTATTTCTCACAACAGGATTGTGTGTCATGGCATTTGGCAGTGCTCAGTTTAGCTAATGTCCAGATAATATGCTCTGAATGCTCTGTACTCTGGCTAAGTAAGTTAGGCATTTCAGTAGAAACCAGTGTGACTAATGTGCAATATCAAATTCTCTAGGACTTGCAGTTCTATATGTGCTTGAAGAATGCATGCATAAAGCATAAGCCATTTCATAACCTTGACCTGGGTTGCATCACAGCATTCTGTGCTGGTGTTTGTGCTGGAAGTGACCCTGGCACCCATGGGTGCCTGATGTTCTCCACCAGAGGGTCCAGTTCTTCATCACATTACCTGAAAGCCTGCTGGGGAGCTTGGCTTCAGCAAGTCCTTTTCACTCATGTGAGTGCTGCAGCACATGGATAAGATACATCTTAGCCCATTTAAAGGTTATCTTCACATTTTGGAAGCACAGAAACATGTCTGGTTTGATAGGGTCTTGCGCAGGAGGCCAGCATCTAAATATCACTACAGGAATGCTCAGAAACAGCTCTGCATAGCAAAGGGCAGTGACTGCCTGTGCTGACTGCTCTAGGCAGAACTGAAAAATTACTTCTTGTTACCTGAATTCTTCAGGACAGGAACTTTTTCTTCATATAGAGAAGTAATATAAAATGTGATTTCTTATAAACAAAAAAGTGAAGGCAAACTTTTTAAGGTCATTAAAAATAACTGTTCTTATGGGAGAGACAGTAGTGGATTAAATGTGAAACTGAAATAGAAAATCTAGACTCCTTTTTCATTTGTGTTGTGAATGGATCTTGTCATATTAGGCCCAAGACCTTCTCATGAGGGATTGAGTAAACTAAGACCCAAAGACCACTGGAATTAAGATAAGATCATGGCATTTGTTAAACTGACCTGACACTTTCCTTTGTTCCTTACAGTACTGTGTTTATGTCAACCATTTTCCTTCTGACTTTGACTATTCAAATACAATCATAACCTATTAGGACTATTAAGAACCTAACTGACAGTATGCAGAGATGGATTTTGGTAAAATGATGCTTTCACAGTAAAATAATTCTAACATAATTCATCCTTCCTTACTGCAATCTTGCTTTCAACCATGGAATGGGACTTGGGAGTTAGCAAAGCTGGTCCTTGCTCCATCACTGTCAGTATATTGTATCTGCTATGTACAGAAAGGGTTATAATTTCTGGGTCTTCCCATTTAGCACCATTCTAACAAATGTAATAAGGTTTATGGAGGAAAAAATATCCAAGATGCTTTGTTCTTGCTCTGACTTTTTTCCCCCTCTTTGAAGTTAGTTTTGCCATGTGATCGGCTAATTTGAATTGTAAATTTTCTTCACCCAGCTTGGGGGACAATTGAGATATAAACAGGTGCTCATAAAAGTATAATTTGCCAATCAAAATAAACATTAGATTCTAGGGATTTCTGATTATCATCTGAATGATGGGAATAGGACAGTGAGTGAGGGATCATTTTCCCCTGAAATGTGGGAGGGGAGAGAGGCAGAAAGGTCTTTGAAGATCTGGTTTAATTGATTCCTAGATGTAACCCAGTTTTTCAGCTGGGGCTTTCTGGCTTCCCTTCAGAATATGGGAATGATGAAAGACAAGCAAATACCAACACCTCAATAAATGAAGTTCTTTCTTTCAAGAGGGAATGTAATAAATTCCTGCCCAGTAGAAATTAAGAGAAGTTTTTAAGTTTACAGCAGCAACAAATTTAAGGATTCACCTGAAGTGCTGTGGGGCATTCTTTCAGATGAATATTAACATAAATTAATGTTCTGTCTGATTGGCAGTGTTCTTGTGTCACTCTTGCCTCGTCCCTGGCCGATTAATAGAAGGTTTACCGTTGGCTTATTTGTCCTACCAGATGAAGTGCTGGGTTGTGTAAGGAATAACTAGTGCTCAGGCTGTGTTCAAGGCAAAGCCAGTCCTTTCTTTGGGAAGAAGATGGAGTATCTTTTCCCTGGGCTAAGTGCTCTGGGCAAGAAAACAAAGCACCCACCACCACCCCACCACCCAAACTGTTCTTCTGTCAGACAGCAACGCCCTCAGGGTCTCTGGAACAGCCATCATCTGGGATATTCAACTTTAGCATAAGTCAGATACTGAGCAGCACTACACCCCTAAAAATCATGGGTGCAGGCAACCTCCGTATGATTGGACCCATTTCACTCTTAGGATCAAGTGAATACCAAATTAGTGTTTCAAGCTTTCAGTGCTCTTTCTTCCCTAATAGCTGTGTAAGCTTTGGAGTTTTCTGGCTGCATGTTAAATATGGGAGGTTAAAAGGAAGAAGTCTGGACTCCATCAAAGTCAGAAATTCCTGTCTATGTTCATGGCTCTGACATGACTTGTTAAGCACTTTCGAAGGCGTTACTGAATATCTCTGTACATGTGCTGATACAAAGTAGAAATCCTTACAACAAATATCTCACTCCTAGAGATCACAGAATCATTGAGTGGTTTGGGTTGGAAGGAACCTTAAAGATCATCTTTAAATCCCAGCTCCCCTGCCATTGCCAGGGACACCTTCCACTAGACCAGGTTGCTCAGAGCCTGTTACCAGGAACATCATTATGGGTGCCTAATGAGAGGTATCATTTTGTATAGAATTTTATTGCTATAAACAGTAAAAAAATTACATTTGATTTCTAGAGGCAGAATAAATAATATTTTCTTTGTTCGTTAAATGGCAAAAGTGCCAGGATGAACACTTGGTAAGATCCTATTGGTAGGTCAGGATCAAAGCTTGCAAGTCTATTGTGTCCAATATTATTCTCTAAATTGTGTTGACTACTTCTGTTGTTCTGCAAGTTTTTATATTCCTTGTTGGTTTTGCTTCTTGGGTTGTTGTTGTTGTTTTTTAAGTTTTAACTGTGTTTTTTCTATAAAGAACTTATTTGGCACTGCATATATTTCCCTATACAAAAGAACTTACCAGCCTGTCATGCAATTCTATTTCACACTGGCAAGCAACATCATTAATCCTTTGAAATAACTGGGATAGGACAGTTCTTAATTACTTAAAGTCAAGCTTTTCTTGGACAACTTCTGAAAAGGCACAAGGGGAACAAAAGATGGAGCTTCATCAGTTTATGAAAGGAATTGTATGAAATAATTTCCCCTAAACAAGACTGAACATAATGACAAAAAGTCCCATGAGCCTTATGGGTTTCATAATTGCAGAGTAATTTTGGGTAGCCTGTCTGAGTTCAAGAAGTGTTTGGACAACATTCTCAGGCACATGGTGTGACTCTTGGGGTGTTCTGTGCAGGGTCAGGAGTTGGACTCAATGATCCCAATTTCCCTTCCAACTCAGCATATTCTGTGTTTCTGTGATCTCAGTAATCATTACAAATAGTCTTATTTTTGTTTTAGCCTTAATTCTGGTGGACCTGAACCAAATAGTGATATCAACATGTATTAAGAATTGCTATTTTAGATCTACCTAAACTGAACTCTGAAACTGCTTTTATTTATTTGTTTGGGGTTTTGTTGGTTTCCCTTTGTTAGTAGGTCCTTGTGGTTCTAAGTAAAAAACCATAGCTGCCTGATTTGCAGTGTGTAAATTTCTGTTCCTCTGTTCTCTTTAGATAAATTCGGGGCAGCGGTCACAGTTGCCTGTATCAAGCACAGAGATGGGAAATCAAAGGAGCCAGGCTTTGGAGAGCAGCCCTTTCATGTCAGATCTCCTGAGCGATGTCCCCTTTGCCCTGGCGCCACATGTGTTAGCAGTGCAGGGCACCCACAGGGACGTTCCTGACCGGCTGCTCACCTACGACATCAATGATAATTTATCAAGGTTTTGGTATGACTTCACACTTGAAAATTCAGTGCTTTGTGATCTGTAATGTTCTCTTTATCTTTTCTGCCTCTGCCAAGGATCAAGTCTTAAATTGAAGATAAAGACTTACTTTAATTGACTAATATTTGGGGGCTTGCTGCTGGTATATCAAAGGGGTTGTTATTCACAACTGTGATATATTTCTTAGCTTTAAGGGAACTATAACTTAGTACATTAAATATTGCATTTATTTCCAAAGAAATCAAGCCTCAGTAGGAGACTGGCTGCTGGTATCTACTTCCAGTAGGTAGGCTGCAGACACAAACATTTGACTTTAAGAGGAAGTCTATGTCTCAACTGTTTTGTTATTTCAATTAGATACAAAACACATAGATCCTGTTACACATATTAAGATCACCTCTTGATTTGTACATATAGAAACCAATGTTAATGCTGAAGCAATGCTGCTCTGCACTACTGGACAGAGAGCTTTTCAGTGAAACCAAGTTTTAAAACTCAGAGTTAATTACAAGCCCTTAAGTAATCATTAAGACTTAATAGAATTGGTTAAACGTACCAATTTTAAAGTGAGAATCAGTTGCTTCCTTCCCTTTTCCAGTAGATGGTATTTTGTCTGTCTCATTTTGTGCCTGCCTGGAGAAGCTGTCCCTGCCTGCCTGTTGGCTGCTGTTTGTTCTCATTACCACATGTGTTCCTGATTTATATACAGATCAGCTTTTCCATTTTAACCTCTTTGCCCCCTGAAGAAGGAAATCTCAGGACACGTACTTTTAATGGTCACACCCTTCTTTTTTTAATTTGTGTGCCAGAGGTACAGATGGCAATGTTTAACAACAGGAAAACATTACATTGTTTCTTATCCAACTAAATTACACTGCTAAATGCCTAAACACACATTCTCACAGACCACTGTGTCCCCAATCACAAGCTTTGAGCATTTTACCAGCTAAGACCAGAGCTGCTGTTCCACCAGCAACAGCTCTCTGATGTCACATCACAGTTTGTGATGGATGTGTGACCTGTGGCACACACTTGTTTTTTCTCTTGGGGTACAATATATAGATTGTGCTAAATGTTGGTGGATGTTTTCCTGTATTTTTTATGCTCTTACTCTCTTGTGGTAGCGTAAAGTACATATATTTTAAGACTTGGGTCCTCTTACAGTATTTGAGATAAATACTGTAAAATGATGAAGAAATTACATTGTGAATATGTCTTAGGTTGTTAAATATTAATCGTTTAGAATTTTTTTAAATGTGCATACTTTATATTTTTGACAGCTGTGTTCTTAAATGTTTTGAAGGTATTGTTTCAAGGGGAATATCTGTGCTGCACTCAAATAAAAAAGCCAAGTAATAATGAGTTATTTTTTATATGTGAGAGTTATTATGTGGTTTCACCTATATTGTTTACTACATCTCTGACCATTCAGCTTTCATAGGAACTTGAACTTGGAAATTCAGTTTGAAAATCTTTTCAGTGTCATTTTAAAATTAGTGTCCTTCTAATAAAATATATCACACTCTCATCTGATGGATTCTGTGTGCTGTGTTGCTGACTTGGAATGGTTTAGGTGGCATCCATGACACTGCTTGGAGAATACTGTGGCTGGGAGCTGGGAAGTACTCAGATACTCAGGCCACATTGAAGAAGGAATTAATTTTATGAAGTTGTTCAGAACTGTTTTGTTTTCTGAGTTTTTTAGTTAATACATACTCAAAGCACTAAAATAATTTTAATTATTATTTTATATCCAGTAGTTAAAAAATGGATCATTCTACAAATAGCATGTTTCCATTCAAGCTGTCCATTTTGAATCTGAAATGTTTCTGCAGCTGAGCTGGTCTAGAAGCAGAGCTGTAATGCACTGTTGAAGACCAAACAAACTCACAGTACTGGTTCTTTATTTGCTAGCTGACTTGGTATGTAATTTTTGCAATAATTTTTTGCCTAAAGTTAGACAATTTATCTAAAATAATTACATCTTGTCAGATTTGAGCTCTGTTGCACTCACAGGTGTCCTTTCAAAAGGAAAGGAGCAGCAAAGGAGAGTAGGGAGGAGATTGTATTCACCATGATGAGAAATGTGGACAGTAGGTATAGACATTTGGTCTTCATCCTTAATTGTCTCCTGTAAAGGGTAAAATTTACACCCAACAAAGCTCCATGAATGAGCAAGGGTACTGGGAATGTGTCTCCTGACTGCTCTCCCTTTAGCAGAGGCTGGGCCTCAAACCTCTCCCTTGCTTGAGGATGTCCCTAAAATTGGATTGATGCCTTATGGCACGTGTTCAAAGGTAAATCAAAGAACAACTGCATCCAAAGCAGCCTGTCAGAAGGCTGACTGGGAGATGGGCCCTACAGACAACTCCCTGCTGACAGAGTCAGAGATGGAACCAGACAATGTTGTGTCCAGCAGGTCAGTCAAGGTGGTGGTTACAGATCTGGTTTCTGCTGTTTCTGTGCAGTGTGATCCAAACCCTGATATGACAGTCAGCAAATGCACACTTGTGTGGTCACAGAGGAGAGGGCTTCACCCTGGAGCACCTAAAGGAGAAAGGCAAAGAACATGTTCACAGCAATTACAGATCTCAAAATAACACACAGTTTATTGCATTTTTAGCTGGAGAACCTGTTACGTTCACAAAAGCACTAAAGCAGCCTCCTGGGCAAGATGAGAGGGTTGTTCTGAACAATAGCATAAAACTGGAGCTTGAGAAACTGCCCTCCTGCCCACAGCCACCCTTCTGTTATGACACGATCATTCATCTTGCTTTGGGTTTTCTCTGCTCAGCCTAGTGACTAGGGAGAGGAACCAGAAGTGCAACTCCTGGGGGTAACTCCTTCCCTTCCTGAGTAACTGCAACTCCTCTACTGATGACAGGGCCATTCCAGATTAACCAGATTTCTTTCTGAAGCCAGAGACTGTACAACAACAAAGAAGCAGAATACCCTCCTTAAATTCCAAAGGTAGACTCCTGTTTGGTGCTGTAGCAAGACAAAGGTTTAGGAAGCCAAGCTGAGTTCATTCAGCCTACCCTGCTGTGCTGAAACTTTTCATCAACATTAAGCCTGACCTTCTGTAATGAGCTCACAAAATTAGGAAGCATGTGTGTTAGGCCAGACTTCTTCCCATCAATATGTCAAATTCCTTAAATGAAGAAAAAAAATTTAACTTCTTGTATGCTCCATTGAAACTGTGTTCTTTCTTTACTAGAAGATAATTTTGTACTTTGAAAAGAAGAGGCAGTAGTTCTCTAGGAGAATCAATGTCCTTCTGAGAGGCGAATTCCCACAAAGCCTTTCTTAGCTGTCCTGTCTGAATCACAGCCCTGGAAACTGAATGAAGTGCAGATGGTAAGAATATGCTGACACTATCATACTGGTGATCTGAATCAGGACACAAATCAGTATCACATCCCATAGTCCTTTTTGTGCACATGTAGTAGACAGCACAATAGTGCCTGCCCATTACCACAAGTAATGGGAGATTATCAGTGGATCACATACGGTTTGAACATTTTGGAACAGATCCTTCTTTTTAGTCTGCAGCCTTCCATGCAGAATTCTTTCTAAATTGTGTTTTACTCCAAAAACAGTTATTGAATATTCAGTTAAAGTTTACTTTCTGATACTGTATCAGAGTAGCTCAAAGAGCTTTGTTGTATCACAGCTCAGTGTTTTGTCCCTTCTACAGAAGCAAAAGTCTGGCTGTATCATTCATAAAATTAACCAGAAGTTGTAAAGATTTCAACAGGTTATGATGAGATGTTGGAGAAGCCTTTTTTTAATTCTGTAGCAAAAGAGAGTATCTAGTGATGGAAGTGGAAGTTATGGTGACCCCAGAAGGAAGCAGCAGCTGTAGACCAGAAACAAGAGAGGGCTTAGTTCTGCTAGCCAATTCAATTCACTTTTCCTTGCTGCAAAGATAAAATAAACCCTTGAGATCAAAGATCTAATTTACAAGGCTGTCCTCTCAAGTCAGTTGACACATGTACTTCAATATCAGAACATGAAAGAAACTGCTCACAAGCAAACAAAAAAAAGATGAGCCTTGATTATAAACATCCTTCATCCAACCCTTTGTGGCTATCAGCATCATGGTTAGAGTAGCCTCTCACATCCAAATGTTCATGTAAGTGTTCTGGGAGGTCAGCATTGAGCATCCATCTAAATCTCACTGGAAAAGAAGCAGATGGGCTCAGAAAACAAAGCCCCAGGTGGAATAGCCCATCACAGAGGAGGGAATTACTTATTTAAAGCAACTGATACTAGTAGAACTTTAGTCTGACCTTGTGCCAGCCTTTTTATGAAGAGTTCTGCTATTTGTCTGCTTTCCTTTAGAAAATGAAGCAACATGTGACATATTGTGAGCTGTAGTGTAATTTCCTTTTCCAGCTTTTTTTTAAAATTACTGGTGCATCCGCTTGGCTTATTCTGCTCTTGAAGACACTTTTAGATTTGTGCATTTTGTTCCTTTAGATTCCTTTGAGTTTGTCTCTGATATGTTTAGATGGGGCTTATATAGAATATTTAATATCTGTATTATCAATTTATTCAGAGGATCTTTTTGTTCTTATTGGTTTTGTTATTATGTCTTCTGCAGTTTGCCTAGTGCTCCTTCAGTTGTCTCTCAAATAAGAAACATCTACACTTCTCCCTCTATTTGTCAGGGTGGAATAGAACATATGCATTAAATTTATCCCAGAAAGGACTGACAAATTTTATTTCAAATAATAGTACAGTACTTGCAGGTATTACATATGAATCATAGTATAATTAGGGCTAAAAGTGGATACATGGGGTTAATGTTCACTATCTTTTAATGTAGTTCAATTCATCTTGTAATTTAGCTTCTGTTTTGGGGGCAAAGTAGGAAAGTGTTGTAATGTCAATTGATACTGGTTTAATAGAGGAATTTAAAACTTCCTTTTTACCAGGTGTAGATTGCAGTATATGCACCTACCCAATGATCAAGTTAAAATAACTGCTTCAAAATTAGAAGTTGCCATCCTGTTAAGAAATGGCATCAATAAAGAAGCCATTGATTGAGAAATGGAAATGTAGTATTTTCCTGTAGATCTCTCAAATGCTTTACAGTACAAGTCAGTATTAAAATTCATCTTGAATCTTAATATCATACATTGAAGACAAATTATTTAATCCTAGGACAGCTGTAAAAAATAGAGTGAGTGAACAAGATGACTGACATATTTTGGTTTACTTAGAGTCTAGCTAGCTAAATTATTTCATGTTACAGTTATTCACATCAGAAGTTTTGTGTAACACTGTTGTTATAGCTATTGATTTGTACAAATCTGAGAGAAACTGTAGGAATAAAGCCATTTTCCAGGCTTTGTCCAAAACTGTTCACCTTCATAATTAAGACTTCTGAGTCTTCTCAAACTCAGAGACTTCACCACCACCTCTGATGGCTGTTTGTTCTTCTGAAGAAAGCTGTACCCTATTTTAGAAACATCAGTATCTGGGAGATCCTCTGCTCCACCCAGCTGGGACTGACAGATGATTTCCAGCGTGGGGCATATCCTGGTAGACAGACATCACCAGGGTGGGAGTGCTTAAAGCAAAGGATGTTGTACATAGATAGCCTGTGGGTGAAAGCAGTGCAGACCTGGCCAACCTCCACTGCTGTACATGAGCAGCCACCTGATCACAGATGCCTGACACAGCTCCTCTAAGCATGAGAGGTGCTGCTGAAGTCAAACTCTGCCTTCTTGGAAAACAATTTGCCTTTTTTAAACCGAGCAAATTCATCTTCTGGTGATCTGCCTGTCTTAGCAGTTTGCCTGTGCCACTTCACCCTGCCTAAACCAGGAGGGGAGATTTCAGATGTGAAGCTAAAGGCTGTGTGCTAGAACAGGAAGTCACTCCAAGACTGGTCTGTTCACCACACATATCAAAAAAAAGTCAGATAAGATTTGCTCTGCAAGGATCTCCTGTAGCAATGCAAGTCTGGCTGTTTATAAGACTACATGCACAGTGTCTCAAAGCATTACTTGTTGGTATTAGATTGGGTTTTATAATCTTAATGGCACAGAGCAAGAAAAATGTTCCCAGTGTGACCTTGGCAACAGCAATTTAGCTGCACAAAGATTATTTTCTCCTATATAGTTAGGAAGAATAAAAATCACCTACTACACCCTTATTGAACAGATGAAGTAATTCAACTGAAGGATAAAATCTTACTTGGAAATTTGCAAATAGGTTATTCTGGTTTTAGATAAATTAACTGAACAAGGCCTTTCTGGCACCTTCTGCCTCATCTTGCTTCAAAGGGTTTTTCTGGCTTGTGCACAAACTCATATTCTGCTCTCCCAAAGAAACGATGAAGATAACACTGAAAAAGTTCTCCTTTGAAACATCATCCATTTCTGATATATCACTGTAGCCTGCAAATCACTTCTGATAATATCACTGTTGTCTGGAGATCATGACCAATAATTTGTCTCTTTTAGAGGCTTTCCACTGAAACTGGTATTAAAACAGGTGATGTGTGCAGAGCAGTCTCAGCAAACTGGATCAGTGTAGGCTTTGCCTGAGCAATACAGAGGAGAGAAGGCATCCCCACAGTGAGATTTAGTGTAGAGCACTGGTGGCATTGGAAATTAGAATATCCTAAGCTTTTGATCAGGGAGGAAAAAAAAAAGGTTACAATTTGGCTGTTTGCTCTTATATTTAAAAGTATTGAGGGTCTAATAGCTGACAGAAATGCTTTTAACAACACAATTACAAAGCAATACTTGGCTTGCTCTATTTACCTTTTCCCCTTATATGTATCTATTGACCATAAAACTCCTCTGGCCTAGAGAAATCCCTTTCCACAGTGTTTATTATTATTAAGCAATGTTTATTACATTATTAAGATGATGAAATTTGAGGTAAATAGGGGAAATTATTCTTACCTGAGGATTTCCTCCCTGATCCTTTTGTCCCAGATCTGTCCAGCCTGACCTTACAGGTGCCTTTCCAAAGTGCCCGGTGGTGTGCTGGCCTAGGCCAGGCCACAAAGCCTGAGCAGGGAATTTCTCAGACACAAATCTTCTCTCTTCTCTGCTTCCTCCATGCTGATGTGCCTAATTACAATCCCAGTCATCCTAGTTTCCATCTGCTGGGAGGAGGGACGGGAAAGAGGAGCTCTTTGTGCACAATTAAGATGAGAATAACCCTCTGGCTTGTCCTCTCTTCCTTTGGCTGTCTATGCAGGGAGCCAGCTGCTGCCAGAGACAGCTCCAGCAGCATGCCTGCAACAGGACAAAGTTATCTATTTCAGCTTTTTGTCCTTCTTGTCTCCCTATGGATTATATCTGCAGAGATCAGAACTGTCACTAGGCTGTATTATAAATGGGAATTAATTTACTTTTAAATAAGTATTTTGATTTGTTCACAGTGTTTAAGACCTGATGATGTGGTCTGGGGAAGATTCAGTGGGCTGTTTCTCTGCTCCAAATATAATGAAAGAGCTGGTCTGTTGCCAGTCATGGAGGAGGGAGGAGGAGGAAGTTAGAATATGCAGCATTTAAGGAAAAAGTTAGATAAAAATAAAACTTAATTCTGTAGATACAGTTTTACTCATTAATTGAACTGCAGTTCAGAGAAGGGAGATGCAGAGGAAGTTAATTTATAATGACCACACACATCCTAAAATGGATTGAGGTGGATTTCAGAACATACTGCTTAGTTGCAGGCCAGCAACCAGAGTTTTTCAATCTGCTGCTTCCTCCAAATGTGTGAAAAAACAGCCTTGTGGGTTCACATCACTGCTCAGTTGCCAGTTGGTGCCTACATCTTGCCCTCAGCGCAGTGATATTTTATGCACAGACAAAAAAAAGCAGTTCTAGAAGGGAAAATAGATTTTTATATGAACTTGTATTTCAGCAAAGTTATATCTTACACCATCATAACTAAGAACAGGGTTTGTCCTAAAGATCATAGCAAAATTGTGTATTAGTAATTATGTAATTAATGTAAAGGGTGCATATATGTACAGAGAATGTGGATATATGTTACATATGTGTCTGTGTATGTAGGTATGGATAGACATACAAGGTGATTGTTCACAAAGAGTGAATTCCACATGGAGTGAGACTGGTCCTAAGTATCTTCAGAAACATTTTGTATGTACTTTAATTCAGTTAGAGGCCTCATATGGCTCTACTGGCTGAAAACTTGTATTGTTTTGCCATGTCTTCTGTTAATAACAGGTACCAAACAGTCCATCTGAAAAAAAAATACCAGACTCTTTTTTTTTTTAATGCCACGTACAAAATAGTACTTGAAATTTTCCTAGTTGTAATTTGTGTGAAGGGGAAGAGAGACTATTTACACAGACAAAGCTGCAGTTTCCAGACCTGAATCTTTGCTCATTCCATGTGAACCATGTGCCTTTAAGAACTGCTCTTTATCCTCATAATTCCTTATTATAGGAAATTGCAGTTGGCAGCAATCAGGTTAAGTATTTAAATATTTTTTTATTTAATTGAGGGGATTAAATTCACATTTCCAATTTAAAATATTTTCCCATCCTAACTACAAAACCTGGTTGTATGTTTTAAAGCTTTTTTAAAATGTCAATACTGACTTAATGTGAAAACACATTACTATCTTTTCCTTGTCATTTAAAGACAGACTCATTCTCTAGTAGGCATCAAATAATGTATTATTTTGATTCTTTACTCATTTTCTCTATCCCTTTCCCCATGGCTGACTTTATGTCATATTTGGAAAAAATCCTCATAAGGAAATTGCTGGCAGAATCTGGTCAAGAACAGTGATCCTTCTTGGTAGAGGATCAAGTCCAACTCTTTTTCTGTAGTCTACATTTTGTTTTTAGTTTTTTTTAGTCTAAATGACTTAGATATTTCCAAGTACAAGGCTCAGAGAAAAGGAATTGTGCTGACCTCTTCTTTGAAGTAAGATTAAAAAAAGGACAGGGAGAAAGTCTATTAAAATGTGGCTGCCTTCCATGCTTTTTAAAAATGTGCTGTTTGTGTGTGCAATGCCTGCCAAGGAGTCTGTCTGCATCTTGTGTGTTCCAGTCAACAGTGCACGCCCTTCAATTGCATCTCATCTCCATTTTCGGGCAACCACGTCTCACCTTTTCTGTGCTCTCAGGAAATATCTGAGAATTTCATCAGTACAGTCATCTGTGCCTTTTTCATGGTGCTTTCAGCTCTCAGGCTGCTGGGGCCACTGAGCAGCCCCTGAACCCCAGTGCTGTTGGTAGCCCAGGTGGGGTGGCACTGGGAGCCACTGGGATGGATTCTGGGGCAAGAGCTGCATTCAGGTTGTCCTGAGGTTGGCTTTCTTTTTAAAATCTAGACCATTAAAGCCATCATTTCATTCTAATCTAAAAGAGCATGAATATTGCAATGCTAAGCATAGTATGGGAGTTCTGCTGCTTTGTGGGGGAATATTCTCCTTGTGAAGTGTTTCCAGAAGGTCAGCAGAGTGGCTGTTCCTGGGGTTCCTAAAAGGCAGCCAGTGCAGGAGCTGTGCTTTGTGGGCCAGCACATCCTGCTAATTGCCAGCTTCACTGCACAGATTGGAGCCTGCAGCCCCTCACTGGGCTCACCTGCTGATCCTGCAGACTGAGGGATCATTGATCTCAGTGGAAGCAAGGAGATCAATTGGGAAACAGGAAGTTTTTTTGACTACTAAGGCAAAATTTTGCTCCCATTACTGTGTCCCATTTCCAAACTCCTGCTGGATCTAAACTCTGCTTCTCATGGACACAGATTCCTAACTCACAATTACTAGTAATTATGCATCTAATTCAGGGGTCTGAAAGACTTCTTTCCTGAGGCACACACCCAAATTGTATCCTGGGTGCACATCAAGACGAGGCCGTGGCATCTGCTGTTTTTTCCCCTACTTTGCCTTCATTTGGAAGGAGTGTGTGCAGCTAGAGGAGAAGTTCTGCATTTTGTCAGATCCCCACCTGAACCATCAGAGGTCCAGGCCTTGGCACACAGCTTCCTACATCCCAGAGCATCCCTTCCTAAAGTTGGCAGTAACTCAGTGGCAGTCTCATGGCTTTCATGAGGGGCTCCTCATCCTCAGGGTTAAATCCTCACCTTCCTCCTCTATTTAAACAGAAGGATATGTATTCCACCTTTATATAACTGGTTATAAAAAAATGAAGGTTTTAAGAAAAACAACCCAAGTAAGATCATTTGAGTACAGTCTGTTTATAGCCAAATACCATTAGAGAACAAATGTTTCCAGGTGTTGCTCAGTGTGAAGGATGAAGTAAGCCGGATGGCATGGGCAAACAAGTTCTGCACGCTTGGGTTCACCACAGCAGCCCTGCAGCTCCCTCCATGCCTCAGGCAGCCCAGAGCAATCTCCAGGTGAGGTGGAGGTGCCACTCCTGGGCTGGAGGTGCTTGGCAATTGTCCCATCCCACCGGGACCAATGCCTTTGGGCACCTGGACAGCAGCAGAGCAAGCTTCACATCAACCTGCTGCTCACTGGGGGCTGTCTCTGGGTGGACAGGGTGTAGGGGCAGTTCCTTAACGGGCAGAGCAAGGATGCGGTGGGAGCAGCAAGTAATGGAATTGCTGGCTTTGAAATTCATGCAGGAGGGCCGCACCTTTGGAGGATGGGAGGTTTTCAGAAAATTTGGAGCCCTGTCCATCCTCCTAAATAGAGGTCAGTTTAAGATGACACTTTGTTATTATTTAGAGTAGTAATGTTTCTCACTAGCCATGTCAATATTACAGCAAGTAATGCTGCCCAAGGGGAATGGATCTACAGAGTAAAAATCCCAAGGCTGAAGGCTTAACACCCACTCTCACACATATTTCTAGTTTAGACTGCTGTTGCTCTTGCCCTACGGGCTGAATGTCCTCTGGATTCCCCATCACATATCCTGGTTTAGTTCCACCCAAAGGGAAACCAGCTTTCCTGCCCTGAGATGACTTTGGATTGAAATGGAAACATGGTAAGTTGGAATTTGCTGGAGCCAAAGTCCCAAGCTGAAATGCTGACATGTACTCATCCCTTCTGTCTAAACCTTAGGACTTCACTGTGAGAGCTCAGCAAGCTCAGACTCGAGCTCAGGAGATGCTGAAGTTGTTCTTGTGAAATCATAAACCAGGGATTTATCATGGCAATTACATAATAATTATGTAATTGCTACAAAAGTGGGATTTGCCATAAAATCAGTTATCCTCTTAGCTTCTCAATGCAGATCAGATAACAATAATTTCATTCAAGAATATTCTCTAGTTTCCTACCTTATTTCATTTCCTGGATATAATGAAACACTGTAACAAATTATTGCTCTTTTTTCTCCATACTTTGCCTTTTATTCAAATGTAAATGTAAATGTTGTGGAGACGAATGTTGCATTTTTTGACAATTTTTTAAAATTGCTATTCCGAATAGAAACAAACTCAACATGGAGTGAAACATAAAATATGTCACTGCTGGGTTTACATTACTTAAAACTGTAAAATAATGTGACATGTTTTTTCCCCTTTTAATATTATTTTTTGGCAAAGTAATTTTGAAAACAACAAAACATTTATAGTTATTTTTAATGACAAACTACTCTTTCCCCTACAAGTTAAAAGTTGCCAGAATAGTAAAGCATGTGAAGAGTTTAGATTTTGATGATCATTGACTTTCCAGTGGAAAATATTCTCAGTAAACTGATTAGTTGCTTCTTTAAAAGCAAGGAGGAAGAAACAATATTTAGTTGGAAAATATCTTAGCTATCCAATAGGCAAAGCAACTATAAAGTTTTAAAACCTCCTCCAGGTTCTTCACCATCACTATCTGAGATAACCTTCTAATTATGACTGCCACCATTTGGGAGCTTTGTGATGGGAATATTTTAACTGAAAAAGTAATTAGGAATGTGAATTGTGTTTTGTGTATGACACATGTGCTTTTATAACTTTTTCCCTGATAACATCATGAGATGTAACCCAGCCTCGTAGTACCTACTAAGGGTTTTGGTCCAAAGAAGAAGACATTTTCTCTATACAGCCTTCAGATGTAACTTTTTGGACTTCTATATTGATATATGCAGCTTTATACGACTCCTGTATTTATATGCCTTCTATATTGAGGGGCTTTGTATTTCTGCTGTAAACAGTCACCTCCCCTAATCCATACTGTATGGAACAATTTGAAAATAACATTATTAACGGGAAGGTAGTCACCCACAGAAAGTATAATCACATTTGATTTTAGAAAATAACAAAAAGCTGAGCATGCTGCCTGGATCTCACTTGCCTATTTCCCTTTTATAAAAGATATTTGGGCTATGGATAATTTATAAACAAATAGTATTATGTTATTGATCCCTAATCTCCATGGTTACTGGGATCCTCCAGTTGCATGTGTAAAGCAGCATGAGCCAGAGAGGGCTGGAAATGTGGGAATCATTCTAAAGGACAAAGAGGGCAATTTCCTTTATTTTACACATTGGCATAAGTGGCAAAGCTGTTTTATCTTTACATGAGGACTTGGTGAGAAAAAAGCAATGCTGTACTCAAACACCATAAGCCAGGTTCTTGCAAGTGAGAGTGCACTGAAGTTCATGGTGTGCTGGTCAGACTCAGATCCTGATCTTTGTCCATGGTGTTGTTATAGACTTTTCTAGAACTTTCCACTTGTCATAGTGGGATCTGTGAGAACACCACCAGCTCAAGAGTCACTCTCTTATAATGTCACCTTAAATTAGTGGTAAGTACTCAGCCTTGTACAGTCAAGTTTTTAAACATTTTTTTTTCTTCTTGCTGTTTGAAAGACCCAGACAACCAACCAGAGTGTTATTGTTGTCATTATTATGAAAAATATAAAGTATGAAAATATCCTACACATAAGTACCCTAAAATGGAGTTTTCCACACCTCTACCTCTATTTTTTACTTCCAGTAATCTCAGACAGTTCTTGGAGCAACAGTGTGGAAAACATTAAAGCAAATTTTGGTGAAGTTTACTTTTTTAACAAACTTGTTTTTAATACCCTTCTATGTCACCTTTGAACCAACCAGAAGCAGCTTAATCCTCTTCTAGATATCTTGAGTAACTACTTTAAAATGCAAATAGAAATTAGTGGAGGAAGTTTTGCCTCTTGATTGAAATAACTTGGAAGAAAAAACCTCTATTAGTTTCCACACACTGATTATTCTTTGACTTTTCCTTATCGGGTTCTTTTCCATTTACTTTTAGTTTCCCTATTTCTGAATTCAATTTCCCCTAGCTTCATCTTTGTGGAATATTTATCCTGCTACAAGCTATTCCCCAAGGCTGTGGATATCTGCTTTCCAATCTAGCTGCAGAGGCAACTGCTCTGAAGGACATGGTCACCTTTTCCATGGGCTCACCAACTGCTCCTTCTCCTTGCATTCCTGCATATTTTTTTAAACAGTAAGATACTGCCTGTTAGCCTAGTCAATATTTTAATACTCTCTGGCCACTCTCCTCTCTGTCTTTTTATTAAAAGGCACTTTTAAGATTCCTTCCCAAATAAAGCATGTTAATGATTTTTTTATTCTTTTTCCACTGTAAGTTTACTCCCAAATATGGTATTTTTGGCATGTGTCGTATCTCTCAAGGCTCCTAGTGGAGTGGATACTTACAACTAGGAGTAGATATTAAAAAACAAAAACGGGATTTACAAAGAATGTTCTTTCATATAATGTATTTCAGAAAAAGTAGCAGAAATGAAAGCATTTAAATACACAAGAGCCATAAAGTTGTTAAACCAAGATGCTTAGGCACTACTGTAGCCACGGAAGGACCATAAGCAATAAAAAGATCCACTTTTGGAACACAAAGTGTATAAAAGACTATAGAAAACAAGTAATTCAGCATATGGAAAGAGGATTTGTGGCTGTTTCTGGCTACAGAAAGTCTCAAAAGTTGACAACAGGAGTCATTCCAGAATGACACTTCCATAAAAAACAGTGAAGCAACAATATACTTCTATCTACGTTTCTGTGTAATTGCATCATTCCCTGCCCCAGATGTCTAATTCCCCAAAAAATTCCATCTTCAAAAGGAAAACAGTGGCCACGAATCAAGCTGAAATGAACCCACAAGTGAGAACTGAAAAGTGGGGTTTGCAAAAAGTCAGTCTTTGGAAAATTACCACAAGATGTATATATGAAAAATTATTAAAAATGGCTCCAGAAATCAGAAAGACTCATTTTGTCTCCCCTCCTTCCTAAATAAGAATAATAAATTGCAAAATATGCAAGGCTAGATCACATTAGAGAATTCTCATAAATTATGTATTACATAGTTGGACATTAAACTGTTAATCCAGGAAAGCTTCAGAGTAAGGGTTTCCAATTTCCACTTTATGAATTTTTGTCAGCACAGCTTCCTGTGGTCAGATGATGTATCCTGTCAGTGCTAGGCTTTTTTTCCCCCCAAATACTTAATTGAATTTTAATGACGTGCAGAATCTCACACACCGGTGCTTTGTTGAAAGGCAGTGCTAGAGACCATTCCCATTTTTTGTTCCTGACTGCACCTTTGTGATTTCTTACTATATTAATTCTTGTAAGCATGTCTAATTTTCTCACCAAAGACTTGAACACGTGAGCCTTAATTAAACACATTAGTAGTCATGGAACAATTAACGTTAAGTCTTCCACAGAAAGAATTGGTCTGCAGGGAAGAGGAGTCGAACACTGAGTGCACTGTGTGCTAGCACTTTATTTACAGAGAAAACCCCAAATCAAATCAATATCAGTTTGCCTAAAGAAGAAACTATCATGCTTCATGGACTGAGACACTAAAGTCTTCTTCTCACATATTTTTCTTAATACATGGCCGCTGTCCTGGAGCTTAATCAGAATTCATGAAGCTGCTGAAGTCGAGAAAATTATTGATCTTATTAAAGATGTAACAGCACCAGACTGAGGAGATGGAGCCTCCAGAGGAAAGAGAGGATGGGAGCCTGTGGGAGAGGCTGAAGCAGCTACACTTCACTCTGTGTTTAGCTCACACTGCCACAAGAAACCAGAGGCATTTTTCTTTCATAGATCAACAGCTTTAAAGCCAGGGCACAACTGCCCCAGGTTGAGCACTTATATCTCTCCACCTACAGCTGCAAAGTATGCCTTCCTGGTCATCATCAACAATGTTTTAATTAACTTTGGAAGCTTAATTCCTCCTTCACTTAATCCCATTTAATGCTACTGGAAACAAAGGAGTGGCATAGGTGTAGCTGGATGGGAATTTAGAAATTGTAGGTTACAAGGATGTTACAGATGGCCTAACTTGACTGACACAGCTGGTACTAAGAGAGAGAGAAATCATCTAGGTATACTTTTGTATCCTAGGGTTTCTTCTGTACTAACCTGAGAGTGCAAATTAATTGCTCTCAATTAGGGGGCATTTTGTTTAGACTGACCCCAAATATTTTTTCTTTTTTTTACGAGGAATAGAAAAACTGCAGAAGTCCCAATTCAGATAAGTTGTTACTTTTGACAGGAAATAGCTTCTTTTATTCAGAAGTAACTAGAACAAGAGGAATCAAAGCACTCAGATCACAGAAATTTGGAGGTGGGAGTACCCCCCGCTGAACACCTGCATGGTTATGCTGCTTCACTCACTGAGATGTGAGAAACTGGGTTAAATTTGGAGAGATCCTTCAGCCTCAAGGACCAGGATCTTTGGAGCTGACTCTCACTCAGTCTCTCCTGCTATAACTCTTCCTCTAATATAACTAATCCTCCCTCTATACAAAATGCATAATAAATATTAGGTCAGTCAGAGCCCATCCCTAAGACACAAACTCCTTACTTCTGGTCCTCATAATTTTTTTTTTCCCCACTGCCAAATGGATGGAAAGAATGATGGCAGAGAAGGAGAGTCACTGGCTCTTGCCTCCCTTCCCAGTCTGAGGAGGGCAGAGGAGGGTGCAGTTGGACACCTTCAGGGTGGTGACCTTGAGCTGCTCCTCCCCTGACCTGTGCGCTGCCCTTAGAGGTGCTGCTCCACCCTGATGTTTACTCACATGCACAAAACACACCAGTATCAGGAACAGGGACTGGGGACCTCACCTCAGGAAGGAATATAACATGGTAATTAAAGGACTAATTTAGGAAATTAAAAAGTTCAATTCAAATAATCTTATGAAGAAGAAGGTTTTGGCCATACATCTCCCAGGTTCTGCATTATTCAAGTGCCAAGTATTGCATCAAAGGAAGCACAAATCCTTTTGTTTCCTCCTCCAGCTTTATTTATCTAGGTAAAAAAGACAGCTGAAACTATTTGGCAAATCTGATGCAGATTAAAGTGGGGGGAAACTAAACCCAGTACTTTTGGTAATTACTGTAGTCATCTAAAACATTTACCCAGCTGAACACCACAGTGGTATTCTTACAGCACACCTGCGCAGGCAGGATTGTCAAGCTAAACTGGAATTCGTTTTATCTCTCCACTGCAGGTGAAAATTAAAAGTTAAAACCAGAAAGAAGCAACACAGGTCTTCTGGCTAGCAACCACTCTCTTGATAAAAGATGACATGCAGCTGCTCTTATCAGGGTAAAGGCTGCTGCCAGAGAGGTAAGAAAGAATTTTTAGATTCATTTCCATTGCAAAAGGAATCAGCTGGGTGAGCTGTGCTGGTTGGAAGAATACTTTCTGATTCCCTACTCTTTCCAGAAATGGCCCTTTCTATTGTGGTGTGTCCTTGCATTCCAGCCCAGACCATTCTTTGGTTGGTGAGGGGGAGCCCTGTCCTTCAGCAGGGAGAGAGAAGCCCAGGCATTGCTCCCTGTTCTTGTCCTCCAGGAATGCTGGGCAATGGTGGAGCCGTGAGCTGGACCACAGCACTTATGTGCTGTGCAAAGGGCTCTGCTGTGCTTGAATTTCATGTCAGCAATGTATTTCCCAAAATCCATGGAGCAGGTTGATCCTGCAGTTCCACTGCGTTATTCAGGCAGTATCATAAATTATCTTTTCACTTACAATGTGTAGATTCTGTATTTATGATGTATCCAACTTATTTGAGAGTTAATTGTGAAAATGAGACAAAGCTTCATCCAGAAAATAATTAGGAAAAGGCCATCTCAATATTAACAAGTATTATGGAGTATGCCCCATGGCAAAGAAGAATTTTGTTCTGATTTTCCTACACTGGAAAAGGAAAGTTTTGCCTCTTGCAACACTCCTCTGAAATCAGCCTTGATAGTTTCTGTGCAGTGAGGTCTAACCTTGTCTTGCAGCTGTGGATCCACGTGTGCCAACCCGCATATGTCATGAACGTTTTAAGCAAATAATTGCATGCAAAGTGTTTTATTTAAAGACTGAAACATTGTTCCAGGACAGGTAGTATAGGAGTGAGGCCAGGTGGGTGGACCTTTGAAGGATTTTTTCCAAGGCAAGGAAGGGACCATGATAAAGCTCTCTCTGATCCTGTAGGTGTGATTGTAAAAAGACCAATGAAGAGAGAGATGACTTTAAGGTACAGCAAACACTGTGTTCCCATTAATGGGAATAATCCATGCCAGCCCACTGTGTGTTGAGCAGTATTTGTCTTGCACAAAATGTGCAAAATAATCTCAATATACTGTTTGAGAGACAGGAAATACCTGTTCAGAAAAAAAAGTAAAAAGGCAGTGGGACAACTATTAAAGTACGTACTATCAGCAATAAGTATACTCAAAAATAAACCTTCAAAAGGCCAGAATTGCTCTTGTGGGACTTCCTTGGGACTTCCTTGTCTTTCCAGAGTAAACATACCAGTACCACTATAAATAGACATCTTCTAAGAAATCATATATAGTTTGAACCATTTAGGATTGATTTGGGAAAACATGAAAAAGCATCTCATAGAAAGTCCATTAGCATGTTTCACTGGTGTGAACAGTTACACATTTTCTTTATGTATGTCACACACTCAGTAACTGAGGAAGAACGCAAGATACGTGGGTACAAAAATTAACTCATAATTCCAACTCTCATTATCCAATTAATTTCTTGTAGATATTTGTTTCTCAAATCAGACATGGACTACACCAGACATTTGAAGTAATATTATTTTTATTTATAGGACAGCAGTAGGTTGAAATCAAGATTTCTCTTTCCAAAGACTTATATACTGATACATTACAAAATTTGGCACATCTACTAACTTTTTTTTTTTTTAAAGCCTGTCATGTAGATACAATAAGCAAGTTCTTTTCTCTTCTGAATCTGTATGAATTTGTAATAGTGTCCTTATACAATCAATATTTTTCTCCTAAAGGATCAAGTTTCCTTCTTTGGCAGAATACTTTTAATTAAGGCACACCCATAAACACTGGAATGTTGGAGGATGATGTTTATTGGAGCTGCTGCTGCATGCTTGTGAGTATGCTACACATCTTGAAAGAAAATGGTGGTTTCAAGATAAAGCTAAATGTCTTATAACAGCTTTTTCTGTACTTTTAATTTATGCTGCTTTTGAACGTGTTAAATTTTAGTTTTATGTAGGCTCAGCCCAGCACTTTTCTACCAAGTGTGTAGGGGAGTGATGCACTACAGGCTGTAATTTAGGGGCAGGTTGGAACTGCCTGAAATATGCATATCTTCATAATTTATTCCTAAATGCTATTATTACCTGAACTCTCTGTAGTTTCAGCATTAAATATCCTTTCCTTCCCCCTGCACTGGGGTGGAAAGGCGGTGGGAGGGAAGCAAAGTTATTTTTGCTTCTGTGGCTGCCAAGCTGCGTGCCAGAGGCTCCGGGAGCCCACGCGAGCTGGGGATAGAGCTGGGCCGCCAAGGGCTCTGCTGGCTCTGGGCAAAGCAGGCATTTTCCAAACACTAAGCCATCCTCAGGGAGATGGAGCTGGACTGTGGGCACACTCAAAGCCAATGCACACATGGTAAAAGCCTACCTGCCTAAAGTAAACACTTAAAGGTGAGAGGTGTGTATTAATGTGGTGCTCAGATGTCACAGCAATGTCCATTCCATGCATGGAATCCAATGCCTGCATCAAAGGACCAAAGTGATCCCACCCATGTATGTATTACCCTTCCTAAACACATTACTATTGCAAAAGCTCAGCCCTTGGGATCTTTGCTCTCATAAACTTTATAGCTACTTTTACATGGTGGCAAAGTCCCTCCTGTACAGCTATTTATGTTCTTGAGTGTTTCTATGACACTGATGCCAATTAACATTCCTTATTTGCATATAATAAAGTGGGATATTTTTAGTGTTGTTTAGCATGGCTAGCTTGTATATATGGCAAATAGCAACTAAATAAAGAAATGGAAATGTAATGAACTGTTTGAGGGGAATTTGTGAGCAAGAATTCTTCCTTGGAAAGCTTGCTGCTTGAGAGAAGGAAAGCTGATTTATCTGGGAACTTAAACTTCCACAGGATGATATGTTCCAGATTTTCAGACTATTGGATAGATAAGGCAAGCTTCTAAATCTTCCAAACTCCATGTGTTTGATCATGTCACTGCTAAAATTAGGCAGCATGAAGCTTAAATTATAGTAATGTAAGAATTATAAGCAGAAAATGACATTTAAACAGCAGTTATGGGCTGTTTATCCACAGGACTATTGAGGGAACGGGGAAACAAATACCTGGGAGTTGGCAAAAACACTAATAGCAAAAGTGGGCTTCCACTTGCATAAAGCACAGGAATAGGATTTTCTGATTTTATTTTCAAAATCTCTTTGTGCAAATTCAATTATTACTATTGATAGGGAGAAATAATTTTGAAAATGTCATCTTGTTTTAATCTACACAGACACATATTTCCTGAGTGGCAGAATACAAAAACTAGCTCTCTGAAAGTTGCTTGAAATGTAATCAGTTCCTACACAAATTCAAGATAATATTTGAATTTTTTGTCACTCTGCAAGGATCTGAGTCTTATTTACACTTTGGACATGAGACTGGAAACAGTTTTAAAATTTTTACATATCTGTCACATTGATTCAAATTACACAAGAAAGTTTTACATATCTGTCATACTGATTCAAATTATGTAATAGCTTCTCCATGTTTAAAACCTAAAAGTATGTTTAATTTATAAATACAAACATCTAATTTAAATAATGCTATCCTGAAATCAGCTTCACACACCTCTACCTCCTCTCATCCATGTTATCAGTTCTTTCTTTTTCAAGAGAAGATCTAATTAACAAAACCATGTTCTTTCTCCTTTCATTCACTCTCCCACTTTCTCATTCCCAACCCTTTTCCTGGCAATTCTTATCAGATTTTCATTTTACCCCTCCTTCTTTACCAGTAATCTTGTAATTTTCTATTTGTAGGGTTTCATTCCTTGTTTGTTGTTTGTTGTAACTCTTCACAAATATCCCAGTATACAAAGAATGATATTTGAATGATATGTCTCCATATTTTACTAAATCCTACATTTGACCTAATTTTCCTCTCATATTTCTGCTGAATTTTCCTCCTGTCCATAAGTTTTAAAATAAAATAATTCATTGCCTGAAATTATGACCCCAGATGGCTTTCTGACAACTTCACCTTTTCCCAAGTTGTCTTTAATTTCAGCTGCATACACCCTACTCAGCTCTTTTGAGGTCACCATTAGTGATGTGATCAGATCTCAGGACTCCTTCCACCTCCACAGCCTGTGATGTTATTGCTCATGCTGGGGCTCAGAAATATTGTCCTCTCTTGACTCACCATTGAAAAGAGGTTTTTTTTTTTTTTCTTTTCTTGTTTTCCTTAACCTTTCTTTCAGCTGTGGGAGATGTCCATCCTGAATTTCAACAGATACCTCACCAGGCTCTTTTTACCTCTTAGTATTCTACTTGTGGGTTTTTCTAGGTGATTTCTTCCAGTTTTGTCAATGCAACTGTCATATCTAGAATGCAACTTCTCTACTTTTCATTACCCATGTCTGATTTCCCCTTGAGCCTAAAACACTGAAGTAAAGATAACCTCCATGAATTTTCTCTCTGATTTTATCAGCTTCTCTCTGTATCCTTTCCTGGCACTCATTTCCCTTCAGTGCCTTCTTGAATAGAAGTTAGGAGTATCCATTGGGCACTCACCTGTAATCTTATCTCTTATCTTACTGTGCAGTTTGTTGTTCCAGGCTGATAATGCCATTTTCAGTTGCCCTTACATCTTTTGTCTCTCGCAAGTTCTTTCATATATGTATTTCAAGCTTTCTTCTAGAAAAAATAGAGTTTAAAAAAGACTATGAAGCCTTCCTTCAAAGTTATCTCAAATCCCACTACTTTCATGATGCATTCAGGAAACAGAATTGATACCAGGCTGTGGCATTTTCAGTGGGGAGTGCCTGTTTTCATTTATTTGTAGATTTTAAAAAATACCGTGCGCTACATTTTACAGCCTAAATATCTAGACTACACTAAATACATACTGTTCCTCTCTTGCTCCTATCTTAAGGGTTTTTTTCTTCAGTTTCTCTTATAAATATTGCAAGGGTTTTTTTGTTTTAAAAAGTTCTTTTTGGGCATGCACAGTAACAAGTACAATATCCCATGACATGACAAATAATACTAACTTAATTTTTTCGCTCTACTCACATGACACTGATAAGATTTCAGAAAGCACTTGGCCCAGACACCTGTAGTGGCACATGCACAACAATAAGACCCAGTGCTAAATTACATGATGGCAAAAAAGTAATTAAGTTTGACTATGTCAGATGGTTTGATACACTAATATTGTCAACTTACTTCAAAGCATTGAAATACTGTAAAAATGTAGATTGAAAGCAAATCTTTGTGTGTTTTCAAACAAATACTTCTATCAATATCTTTTCACAATCAAGATTTAACCCCTAGTTTTAGGATAGTGATGTAGATAGGGATTCCCATTGCTGCCAGTCAGAATTGTCCATACCAGGGCAGAAAAAGGGGATGAAGAAATATTTATTTTCTGTGTATATGCAATGCCAGACATAACAGCATCACAAGTAACTAATAGGTAAGAAAACAGTTGAAATAAAGTTGGTTAGCAAATATTTTGAAATTAATTTCTTAAAGGTGTGAGAATCTCAGACCATTTCTGATCAGCATATTCTAATTTTATATAAACCAAAAAATTACCAAATACACAAAGGTCAAGCCCACTGGATTGCATAACTTATAAATCACTTCAAGAGAGTTAAGTGTGAAAGCTGATATGAAAGTGTGAGTTGCTAACCACGGTCACAGCTGACTGAGCGTTTTGTTTATTCTCTAACCAGATTCTGCTTCAGGAGTCTGTACCACAACTAATTAACCATAATGCTTTATAATTGTATAAACAGAATATATAACAGATCTTTATGATATATAATTAATTCTGCCCGTAAGGAAAGCTTTTATAAGTCAAACCATGTGCTGTTGGAGAACTGCCTCTTTATGTTCTCCCTTACAAGTCATGAATATTTCCCTGCCAACAGAGCTCTGGGAACATTCTAGAAAATAATGTTCGTTAAGGCCTGCCAGGTGTTTTCTTACAGACTGACTACTGGGAGCTCCATCTCTGAAGCTGGGGTGGTTGCAGCTGCCTCTGCTCCTTCCTTTATGCAGACTGCACTGAGGGAAGGCAGTTTGGTACAGAAAAATTTCTGGTTTTAAAGATCAAACTCACTTGCTGTTGTCATGCATTTGTTTAATCTTGAGTTTTGTCAGCCTTACTTTTCTGTATTTTTTTGTGCATTAAATTTCAGGCTGAACTCAACCATTGCTGCAAGATCAGAACTAGAACCAGACAAACACAAACAATTTGGCTTTGGGTTATGACCCATGAATAAGCACCACTCAATATGGTTAGAGGATGGCCATTCTCCCATCTGCTGTTTGATTTTCTTGTCCTTCCTGTGGAAAACAAACAAACAAACAACCAAACCAACAACAAACATGAATGAGTTCAGGAGACCTGGGATATCAGACACCTGATTTCACTGCATGAAGACCTTTTTGTTGAAGTGACACAAAAGACAACATCCATCTCTAAGACCTGTTCACTCAAAGGGGTGAGTCACCCTTACATCAGGAGCTTTGTGTGGTCCAGGCTGGAGCTGGTAGCAAAATGTTGAAACAGCAGGCCTAGGAGAGCTGAAAGTACCCTGAAAGACTCCACCAGACTGTTTGCAGAGAAACCCTATCTTTGTAAAATGCTAATCAGAGCCAGAAAATTTCCAAGCATCCCAAGATGAGAAACTCATCCACCTAGTACTCTGCTGATGGTCTAGCAGGAGATCCATTTCTAAGTACCACTTTGCTTACGACATCCGGCTCACTCTTAGGACATCTTAAATGTACATGATGAAAGAAGTTAATATGAAGATAAATTGTTTGCTGGAAGAAAAAAAAAAAAGGAAATAAAGAGAAGAAACAAAAGCAAGAGTGAGCAAAGAGCAGAAGCCTCCTTGATCTAGCCTTCACTTGGCTGAATGGGAGGCACAGGTTCACATTACACTCCTTTGGAATGATAATCACACCCTTCTTTGAGGCTGACACACCACTGGGAGGATTATCTTTGCAGGGCAGCCCAGATCCTTCTCACTGATAAAGCTGCTGTATCTGAAAAGTATTTGGCAGAACTGTCACCACACACACAAACAGAGGAGCTGACTCCTAACCTCAGAGGCTTGGTATGGGGAGGTGTCTGCATCAGCTCCTGTGCCCTCCAGATCAACTCTACAGATCATCACCTTTGCAACTTGGAGAAGAAAACACGGTTTCCTTGGGGAGCTTTGAGGTGGTTTTATTAATGGTTTCAAAACCTTCAGAGGTAACATTTTCAAGGTAACAAGTTTTTTCTTCACCCATTGCTTTCCCACCAACACCCACTTCTGAACATACAGCTTTCTTCTGTCTCCTTGTGGGCTAAGAAGTCATTAAAAAATTATTTTTTGCTTTTCTTTCCAAAATTAAAAGATACTGCTTCTTCTACCCTTGCATGATCAACTGTACTTATTACTCCCTTTTTCTAGACTCCTTCTGAGTTATGTCACATATCATCATTTTTCCCTAAACATTTTCTGTTTAACATTCCTGTTTATTGGTAGAGCCTAAGCCATAACTCAGTACTATAGGGGAAGGTCTTCCCCTTGAGACCTTTCATCAGGGGTGTATAATAACTGAGCAATAACGTCAAAGAGTTTGGTTTCTACATGATGGCACTGATTCCCACTGTTTATTGGAAGGCCCTCTCTCCAACAGCAGTGGTTACATTGTATCTCAAGCATCATGGAAATAATGCCTGGCTACATCTACTTGGCTGGCATGTAGAAGTTTGAATTTCTTCAAGTAATGTGTGTGCTTTGTTTCATTTAGGGCTAAAAAGAATCTGAAGAAATTATCCAGTAGATGTGCTTCATTGGAACTGCTCTGATTTCTCAGAGAAAGAACTCTCTTTATGGCCAAATAATGCTTATGGGTAGATTTGCCAAACAACGCTTTTCTTTCCAAGGATCCATAAATCTCAGAGTACTTTTGAGAGTAATAAATGTTGCAATAATGTTGTTCTTGATTACAGGCAAGACTGTAACAGCTCTGACTGGTAGTGATTCCATAATTATGTTTGATTACAGACAGGCTCTGTGCAATGCAAGGGGGTTATTTGTTGCCTTCTATCTGTCCTGGATTCCACTGGGGACCGAGATCACGCCATGCCACATACACAGCTTACTCAGCTGCCTTCCTCAGAGCGTTGTCACTAAAGCAAAGCATTTAATGGCAGGAGCTGGGATAGTTGGGTGTGCAAAACCTTTTATGGAACTGTAATTAAGCCACTATGGAACTACTTCAAGTGAGGGCCACTGCCTAAGAGGATCCTGAATTTCAGCAGCCCTTGAGGACCTGATCTTGCATGCTTCATAGTGTGCAGGGGCTAAAGTTACTCGTGCCTTTATTGCAAGGACAGTAAGGGCCAAAGCGACAATGAGAAATAAACTGTACCTCTAACATTGTCCACACTTTCTACTACTAAAGAATTTTTTAAACGGAAAAGCTCCATGAAGTCTAATAGCCCTCCCTCTGTCAATGAACAATAAAAAAAATCATGCCTTACAATTTATTCTCCAGTGCTTTGTTTATTCGGTATTAAATGACTCATGGAATAAGGTTTCCACCTCTCCCCGTGGGAGATTATTCCAGCTGCTGAGGGCCTACTAGCAGCTCCCTTTCTTTCTTTTCTCTTTTAATGATGCTGAAGTTTTGCATTATATTTTACTTTGGGATGTAAAAGATTCACATCCCCAAACTTGCTTTAAAATGCAATTAAAGCTGTTGACATGGAGTGAGAAATCCAAGGAAACATGCAATTAAAACAGAAGTCCATCATATATTTCACTTAAATACTGTGCCACCTCAACTGAACATTTTTAAGCTAACTGCACACTTCCTTGCTTTTACAGGTTTGTTGCTTACTGTCATGTAAATGCACTTTTATTGTATTTAGCATAATGTATTATAAATTAGCATTAGGCAAACTCCTAAAGCCTGTTTTATAGCTGTCACACCACAAACCACATTTACAAATAAATATTTGTTTCTACAGGTGAGTATATTACCTACTTGGAAATGATAATTATTTCCAGCATTTTGACTCAGGGCTGTGCCTCTGCTCCAGTCCCACAGCCTGTTGTATGCACAGAATGGAACATTCTTACAAAGAATACTTTGCTTATAGGAGTAGCATGCCCTAAAATTCTTTAAATGTGTCTCTCTAATGCATTTTATTGTTATTATTTTTATCAGGCGCTGCAAAATCTATTTTAAAAGAGAATATTCTCCTGCTTTGAAAATTCATAGCGTGTTTACCTACCAGTGGAGTCCACCATGTCACTCAACAGCATCCCATTTGGCTGGTAAAGGAACAGTGATGATAAGTTCCAAATAAAATTGAGTCCTGTTTGTTGTGCCTAGAAAGAAAGGTCGTGGTGAACAAGGCTTTATTTGTCAGGAACAGTGAAGCAGGATAACTAGAGGGGTAGAAGCAACCCAGAAAAGGACTCTCTGAAATGAAGGTTGAATTTCCCTAACCCTCAGATTTGCCTTTTAAACCAGTGTTGTCAAAATGCACCTTTATTAACACCAGCACTAATCTGACAGCTAGGACACTGGTGTGGGAGGGGCATTCATGATTAATGCAGTTCAAAAGAAACAACACAAAACCAGATACAGACCAAATCAAGAAATCTTAATAGAAAGATGGCAGGGACTCTACTATCAGACACTTATTACTGTTTTAATGGATCACAATGGCTTCAAATCTACCTTGTTACGGGATGCTGCTCATTTAAAAAGTTTGATATAATATAAATCAAAGTACTATAAGTACATTTGTGCTTTCCTAATATCCTTAGCAAGATAACTGCTCACATGAAATGGTGTTTCTCCTATCTTTTATTATATTGGTGAAAATGGTAATAGATATAACAATATCATTATATTGAAATTGCTACTGGCATTTGCTTACTCTTTCTACCTTTTCCATTAAAGATACTACTGCTGTGCATAATAGACACTACCTAAGTACTATGAAAACATTTTTTCCCCTCACAGATGGTTCTATGATGTGGCATGAAGCTATTTTAAGGAATAATCACTTTTGTTATGTCAACATGAAGTGTTGCATTATTTTGCTATTATTATTGATATCTTTTAGATAGGGGAATGGTAAGAGAAATTATAGTAAAGAACTGCTAGAAGTGTCCATTACATTTAACATGGCAGGTTATCAGAATACCAGCCATTTTACCTGTGTTTCAATCAGTTTCACTTTGGAGAATATCAACCACCCATACTTGTCCAAAAGTGTCCTCATACCAAATGCCTAAAAATGGAAAAGAGGGAAAATAAACCTGCAAGATCCCTCAGCTCCTCATTTGAAGAACCTGGGCTTAGCCCCAGCTGTGCAAATCAGACTTTTTTCACAAATTATGAGCAGGGGAAGGGAGATGAAGATGGTGGTTGAGTCAAGAACAAAACTCAGAATAGAAATGTAGGGCAGGATTGCTGTCTGCAGGAAATTCAGCTTCCCATGGGACATGGTCTGACATGTTTACCTTGCCAGTAAAGGAAAGCCTTGAACAGAATTACCTGTACCAATGAACAGAAAAACTTCAGACTAAATACAGAGCTGGAAAGAAGGTTTGGTGATTTTAGCTGTGTGTTAAATGTTTGCCTTTGTGTTAAAGCAGATGCCTAAGGAATACATAATTCAAAAGTCCAAAGTGGTTGGCCTATTTTCCTGAAGAGAAGAGAATGTAGTAGTAGGTCTGATTCCAGATGAGATAAGACTTTGTTATAACAAACTTAATGTTAATGGGCAGGTTCTGGTTTAAGTGAGTTATTCAGTATCACAAAAAGACTTCTGACAGATAGGAAAAAAAAGACAATTATCCAAAATGGTATTCAATTTTCTTAAGGGAAAATCTTACAGCTGGCTCTTATCCTGTAGTTTCCTGGCTTGTTCATTATGCAGTCCTCACTGCTAGTGACAATCCTTTGCACTGAATGAAATAATGTGAACAATAGCATTTGACTAAAAAGAAAGTACTATAACACCTTCTGGCTGAAATTTTACCGTAAACTTGATTCTGAAATTTTCTGAAGTTTGTGAGTATTCATAAATACCAAATTTGACCTAGTATAAATACTGTTGGACCACAGGTCTTAACAGCATTTTACTTAATACATATTTCCTATATCCAGGAAAAAAGGCATGAGAAAAAGAAACCTAACACTTGACCACATGCTTGACCCTGAATTGGATGATCAAAAGTGTTAAGGTAAGTCCTCAGTAGTGGGTTTCCTTTGGTTGTTGGAAGATAACTTGAGCATGTAGAGACTTGAAAGTGATCATGATTTGGAAGTCTCATCCCCAGCTCGTACCAACAAAGCCAGCAGTGGGGATAATGATGTTGTATCAGCAGCCCTGGAGAATTCAAGGCCTCAAATGCAAGGTAATTCCCAAGAGACTTGGGGATAGAGAGTGCTTGGCTGATCTGAGGAGATCATATCTGTGCCACTGAACATTTGGGAGCAGTGAGAAGATGGAGTGTGGTTGATGAAGGCAGTGTCGGTCTGTCAAAAATCCTTGTAGTAAAAACAATTCCATATATATTTTTCCCCGTTACTGTCTCATTCTAGCTAGAACTTTGTTTGAAGGCAAAACAGGCCAAAAATGAAACCAACATCTCCACAGCTTGAGACAGATCTTTTCTGGGAAAATGGGCTACTGCTGCTTCAGCAGAGCTGCTCAGCTCCAGATAGGAGTTACATTTCACATGGGGGCCCTTAGAACAGGTGATGCTCCCATTCCTGCCTAGAGATGCTCCAAGGCCACAGAGGCAAGCCTCTGTTTTAGCCTCAGTTTTGTCATTTGAGAGCTGCAGTTTGGGTCATTAGGGGTTGTTCTAGTTTTTGGCCACAGATAATGCTTTCTGGTCATCATCGCTTTCAGAATATTACTGGGATGTAAGTACTTCTTCTTGTTATTTCTCTCTTCCCAAATGTAATATTCCCAACTGTATATTCATTACAAATAAGAGAAACACAGGGAACGGACCTGAACATACATGAAGACAAATGCACCCTTTCTCATTACTGTTTTCTGTTAGGTGCTGTGTGAATATCCCAAAGACACTCACAAAGGACTTGATTACAAGTGGAATGGGGAAAGGGCAGCAAAGAAAACATAGGAGGTAAGAGAGACATAAAAATGATGAAACAAGCAGGTAGATACACTGGGAGCAGAGTACTGATGGCCTTATGCCCGGGTAAGGGCATAGAAACAAAAGTTATGTCCAGATTTGAAGAGTTTGCCCTCTCTAAAACCTTCAAGTAGGAACAAAATAAGGATTAGGATTGCATAGCGTCTAATGACTGCTTAAAACTTCTCAGTTTCCATGGCTCATGGCACTCATGTAAATCTGTTTCTGACCTCAAGAGATGAACCCATTATCAATCAATAATAGTAGGAGAGATGGAGAGACGTGAGTAATTTGTTTCACTCTTGCCTGTCACTGCCCCACTGCTAGACTTCACTCCCTTGCTGTTGTGCTCTTGCTGTGATGTGTAATTTCCACTGCTCTCAGGATGCCTCTCCCAGAAGTTGTGTTAAGGATCTCCTTGTCTCCCAGGAGGATTTAAGATTCAGAAATACCTGTTACCTTCAGTATAAACTCCCTTAAGCACATGCCAGCTGGCAAGGTAGTTCCTTAAAGTGGTAAAGAGAAGCAAAAAATGCCTTTAACGTGGCTTTTGAAAAGTTGAAAAGGGTATTTAAGGCAATCATGGGTTTTTTAAAGATATGAAAATTCTGATAGGAGCTCAGTTTTTACTTCACTTTCCCTGTAATATCTTCTTGGTATTATACAGCTGTGGTACTCCCTGAGGGAACTACTCTGGAACCTGACTGAAAAACAGTGAAAAATTCAACAGTTGGTATCCTGCTTTAAAATACTTTCTTCTAGAAGAATACTCTCTTCATCTTTTCTGAAATCACTTTTTCCTAGGCACATGGCATGGTGCTGTAACATGTATCCTAACTCTAGTTTAGAAGGAATTAGGATGGAAATAACTTTTGGGGAGCAAAGTCTCCCAGTACAGCTGTTGATGTGCCTGGTAACAGTCTGGCTGCAAGCATTCCCAGTGGATCTTTTCTTCTCTGGCTGTTTGAAGGCACGTGAAGAGGTGATTCAGTTTGGACTGTGAGGCTGTGGCATGGTCCTCAGCTTGTTTGGAAAGGAAGACTTGCTATGATATTTTACCCCAACATGCCCTGTGGGTGTTCTTGTTTTGGGGCTGGTGGGACTTTCTTTGTCAGACATTTACCTTGTCTTTACACATCTATTCTCCCTATCCAAGTACCTTGCTTGTTCCATGTGCAAGAACATGGAAATTGTAATTTAGCCATTGTAAAATAGTATTTAAACAGACAAATTCAAGAGTTACATTAGTTCATCCTTATTTTAGTCTGACATAACCCTCAGCCTTGGCAATAGCTGGAATTTGTCAGCTATTGTTAGTCAAAGGTGCACTTTCTTTCTCAGCTGACCCCAGATGATTTTTGGTCTGTAAGACATAACTGTATCAGCAATGTCATCTGACAGAGGTACAGATGTAGGAAAACGTGCTCACTGCTTAAAACGCTGCTGATATTACTGTTTGGCAGATGGCTACTACAGGTGAATGCTTTCCAGTCATTTTAAGCCCAGTGCAGTGAAGCAGAAAAAAAAAATAAACTGGATGGACTTCATGGCTGCGATTAAGTGCAAAATCCTTGGGGGAAAAAGTTTCCACAGCCCAGTTTTACAAACACATTGGCTCATGCTAGCAGAAAACAAAAAGACTGGACTAGTGGAAAAATACATGGTTGCTGATTTTTGTTAAAATGAATTTATAGGAGTGGCTCTGTTGGCTGAGCACGTTCACGTGGATGTGCGGTGTATTATTCCAACCCTTTCTGTAACATAACCACGGTCACTGCGTCACATGGTGCCAGTGCAAACAAAGTCTTGCTAACAGCCCATGAATAGGAGCATTTTCCGAGAATACGGTTTCTCATTGGGACTATCAACTGATTCCTGTGCTACCAAGGGACAAGGATAGCTATGGACAGCTTTGGAGGTATAGAAGTGCAGTCATCTGAAGCGTGCAAAATAAAAATTAGTGTTTGTTATATAATCAAAAAATGGTACAAGGGATATAGTTAATTCTGTGACACTTAATGATTCCTGATTGGTAGGCAGTATCTAAAATAAGAGAGGGTATCTTGTTAAACATACTATTTCTATGTATATTCCATGTCGTCTTTATTCTCCTAATGTCTGAATCTGAGAGGCCATCATTGAGCTGACTTCCTCCACATAGCAAGACTCCCTGCATTTTCCCTTCTTCTCCATTAGCATCCTATTTGCATCAGATTCAAAACAAGCACTGTTTTCTTGACGGACTCAGCTCAACTTATCTTTCTGATCTCACAGCCATTTATTTTCTTAGCTATTAAGCTACTCATCCTAACCCTCATTTTGTTTCCCATCGTTTCAGGTTATGAATTCATCTAATGGCAGCTCTTTTTGCTAGAACAAAAGCACTTTCTAAAAATATCACTGTAAAACATTTTCTTTTCCTCTTGACGTTCTCCGAGAAGTGTTTTTGGACGCATATTAGGAAAACCAGAGTAATATTCTATATACACTTATAGGAAATTATGAAACCACACTTATTTAGACTTTGAAGAACATCTTGATTTTTTAACGAAAGTAGAAATACTGTCAAGGTTTGATGGACATGAACAGACTTTGTTGCGAGAAATTCTGGCTGCTTCTGAGCCTTCCCCGCATGGGAGCAGAGTAAGCGTGAGGAGGCCGACAGTCCCCCGGGAACAGGGACAGCGCAAGACTTGGTACGGAGCACTGCCTCTCCTCAGTTAATGTTAAGTCGGCATCCCGTAAAGTCGGCTTTGAACTGGGAAGCTCATCCCGGCACCTCACCCGGCGCCCACCGGGGCTGCTCCCCCGACGGGCTCCGCATCCCAGCGAGAACGAGCCCAACCCGAACCCGCCCCGGCCGCCGCCACATCCCACTTCCCCCGGCCCGCCTCCCCGCCAACCGCCACACCCCCGCCGCGCTGCCCGCTCCCATTGGCTGAGAGCGGCGAGCGACAGGCCCCCTGGCCAATGGGACCCGCGCTGGTGCCGCGCTGGCGCCCAATGGGCTCGCGCGCCCACCACCCCTGCCCGTCGCGGCCGGGCGCTGGGGCTGCGCGGTGCCATTCGGAGGGCGGGCGGCGTGGGGAGCGGATGGTACTGGTAGCGGCTCCCGGGCGCCGGCGGGGGCAGGAGCAAGAGCTGGCT